GCTTTAATTCAGTGACTCCCATTCTTGGCCACACGTCAGATTTGCTGGAGGAGCTTGTTAAAAATAAGCGATGTCCAGCTCCCTCCCCCGCCTCAGGTTCTAGTTTTCTGGTCTCTGTGTTTCCAGGAAAGCTCTGGAGGTGATCACACACCTGGTCGCAGTCACCTCTGTGAGCCCCTGCTTTGAATGCTCCTCTGAAGGCCCGTGGAGCCCCATATGTTGATGGAAAGCATCTGGGCCCGAACCTGACACTTGAAACCAGGCTCTAGAATGGGCAGCATCTCGGAAGAATCTCTGTTCCTGATCCATTCCCTTCCCTATTCTTATCATGGGTCTGTTCTTCCTTGAAGATGTCCCGAGGGCAGATATCCCAGCCCTGGCCTTGCTGTTTTCCACTTTCATGGACTTTCCAAGTCATTTGGAAACTCTTGAACCTGCTGGAATTTCCATCATGAAGGTGGCTGTGAATATTCTCTCCAGGCGGCTGGTGTCAGCTGTTAGGGACAGGCCTTCTTCTAGTACAGTGTGTGTGTGTGTGTGTGTGTGTGTGTGTGTGTGTGTGTGTGTGTGTGTCTGTGTGTGTGATGTGGTGTGGTGTGCATGTGTGTGTGTGTGTGTGTGTGTGTGCATGTGTGCGCTTTCTTGGCATTTTGTGCAAACACATGTTACGTTTGGTCTTGGGGTTTTGAAAATAGAGTACTCAAAATCACCATTGTTTTAAAGACATCTCTATCCTATCACTTGTGTTCAGGTATCTCAGGCAGGTATCTTACTCTGTAAACATCACTCAGTGCTGAGTATCACCACGCAGCCTGCAGTGTTTCCAGTAAACCTAAGCACATGGCAATGAGCACCAGGCAGGCAGCCAAGGTGATTTGGTGAAACTGGACTATGAAAGGTGAGGAAGGCTGGATGGGCTCTAGTGAAGGTTGGCACCGGGGCCTGAGAGGGCACGCTCACCTTATCCCCTGGGTCTGACTGTTCACAGCTCTTGTTTGCTGACGGTGCTTTGGGAAGCGCTTGGTCATTGTAAGCTTATTTTGTGATTCAGCTGCTGGAGGGCTAGTGTCTTCCTGTCTCAGCTTTTTTGCTTCTCTTGGCCTCATCTTATGTCACAGGCTTCCGTGTCCCTTATCCTTGGGACTGTGGAAGCACATAGAGGGAATCCCTATGGCCATCCTCCTTACTGAAGGGGCACGAGAGGATAGGATACGTAGGAAGAAGGGACATTTTGAGAACAAGCAGGGTATTGAGACCAGAGCCCTGTTCCTACCCCTCCTCGTTCTTCTTCAGTCAGGTGTGTTCCTCCAAATCAGCAGCATATGCATTGATCAGATGGTTGAGCAGTGACTAGATGTAGCACAGGATTCATCTATGTAAAGAGAACTGCAAAAGGAGTATATTTTATGACTCCAAGTGGACTGTTTTCTTTGTGCTAGGGCTTTATGCATAGCAGATGTGAAACAAATACTTGGATGACTATTTGGGGGTGCACTATACCATAACTTACCATTGAGGCTAAAATAGAATCATGTTGTGTGATGAAATACATTTTTTATATATATTTAGAGTAGGCTGCTTAGCCAATGTAGGATTTGTCAAAGAGAGAAATGTGTGTGTGTGTGTGTGTGTGTGTGTGTGTGTGTGTGTGTGAAAGAGAGAGAGAGAGAGAGAGAGAGAGAGAGAGAGAGAGAGAGAGAGAGAGAAAGAGAGGGAGAGAGACCGAGAAAGAGGTCCTTTGCTAGACCTGTAGAAGATGAATCTCTATTGGTTTCATGTCTTCATGGCCAAAGCCATAGGATTAATGTATTTTCTGCAGCACCTGGATCCAGGCTGACATGGTCAAGAGGCATTTATCAAGTTTAAAAATCACATGCATACCCCCTGGCTGGGTGCTCAGTGGTTGGAGCATCATTCCGTACACCAAAATGTCACAGGTTTGATCCCTGGTGGTGGCGCATGTGGAAGGCAACCAATCAATGTGTCTCTCTCTCTTTCATGTTTCTCTTTCTCTCTTCCCCTCCCCCTCTCTCTTCCACTCTCTCTAAAAGTCAATGGAAAAATATCCTCAGGTGAGGATTCACAAACAAACAAAAATAACCGCATGCACAGTTGTTTCAGTACAGAGAACAGACCTTCTGCCCAACTATGGTTTCATGCCTTTGGCAGGCGGGAGGGTGGGAACTGGGACCTCCCGGAGGGGGAGCCTCCAGCTGAGCATTAGGAGCTGAGCTCAGGCCCCCTCATCAGCAGGCTCAGTCCCTGGAGATTTGGAGGCCGCGTGTCTCCTGGCCTTCTTCCCATCTTGCCTATCAGAGAGAGGCTGATATGTGAGTTTGCATCTTAAGAGGAGAGCAGGAGTCCTTCCCTCCTGCCACTGGCTGCTTTGCTTAAATAAGTGGCACAGTATTTCCCACAGCAGAGGCCGGCGGAGGGGAGCTGGGAGAAAGTAGTGTCAGCTGCTTTGGCCTCTCAAACCTGGGGAATCATTGCCCTTGCAGGAGTGCGATGCTGAGCTCATTTCAGAACAATGTAGAGGCCTTTTGCAAGGACAGTCTTTCCTTTTCTTTCCCCCTTTCCTGTGTCTCCTCCTCTCTTCTTTCCCTCCCCTCCGCCACACCTTGCCTTTCCTCTCCTTTCTTCTCCAGCTTTTAATGGAATGAGTCCATGTCTCCAGCGTGGCCAGTGCTCAACATTCACATGCACAGGCACGCGCGCGCGCGCACACACACACACAGCCAGATTGACATGGATGAGCCTTGAATCAGCTGTTCATGAATGAAGCAGAGATCCTTTTCCTCTGTCCAGGCCACGCCCCTTCTCTTTGAGGGCATTTTGAGACTGAGGTCAGAGCCAGGATCTAAGGCTTTTGTCTCAGAAATAGCAGGAAGGTCAGAATTAGTCTTCAGCTATTTGCTTTGCTGCTTCAATCAGCTAATAAGGGTTTCGGAAAGCAGAGGGTTGCTCACGGTTTTTGTTTTGTTTCTGTGCATTACTCTGCAAGGAATGAGTGAGTGAGTGTGAAGGGAGGGGCGCAGGTGGCTGCCAGGGTGTTTGCACAGCTCCGTGGTAATTACTGACAGACTACAGGAGTTCTTGGATTCGACTGGGACGTGTTTAGTTTTTAAAACAAAATGGAAAAATAAAATAGGCCCCAATGGTGTCTTAACACTTCCTCTCATGAGGAGAATTTGTCAGGTGCCGTAGAACCACATATTCCCTTTACAGGGTCCAGTTGTTTTAACCAGCAGCTTTTAAATATGGAGCTCTCCCTCCCTGCCTGTAGTTCCTTGGAGTTTTGCAGTGTTCTAAATGAATATGCAGATTTCATTTCTGTCAGCCACTGTGGTGCACACACAAGTACAGAAATGTGTGAGCAAGTTTCTCCCCTCTCCCCTCTCTCTCTCTCTCTCTCTCTCTCTCTCTCTCTCTCTCTCTCTCTCACACACACACACACACACACACACACACACACACACACAGCTTGATTCTTACCTAGTCTTTACATAAATTGGGGTTTATCTCTAAGCACCAGCCAGAGGGATGTTCATAGATGCTCCGCGGAGACTGACACTTCTGACCCTTTCCCGCTGCAGTTCCTGTAGGAGATTAGCAGGTCTGAAAGGTAGTGTTGCCCCTGGCATCTTATGTGGTGGTGGTGTTTACTTTTTGTTCTCAAGATTAGCATCTGTTTTCTCTTTGAGCATCCTTCTGGTTGGACCAGGACTCTCCTCCGTGAAAGATCAAATAAACAAATGAGAATGTGGAGTGAGCAGAGAGGCCTCAGTATCAGCCTGATCTGCTACATATTCATTTGATGGGCTTTGGTGTGACAGGTATCCTCAAAAGGGGATGCTGCGCTGTAGTTTTTATCAAAGGTGATTACCTTTGAGTGAAAAGTGTGAAGGAGAACAAGGATTGCTGAGTGGTTGGCCTCATATACTACCTTATCTGGTTTTCTGCACTTAAACGCTTTCCAAAATGCTCAGAACTGTCCCCCCACTACCACCTCCATGGATATCTGTACAAGCAGCAAATGTGTGTCCTTCCCACATCTTATTATGAGTTCATTGAAATAAGTACAACTTGAGAGCAACATTGTAAGATCATCTCTACCTAAAACGATTGACTACTTTGCCTGGATGAACTGTTAGGTCCTGAAAAGACAGAGCTATATAGCTAGATGTTCCTGACTTCTAGGAATGAGTGGGAAAGATAAGCTGTGTATGGTCCTAGAAATAATTTAACCTTTTAAAAATTTTTTGTATTGAATTTATTGGGGAGACATTGGTTTTATAAATTTTAGTGAAATTATATGGGTTTTTGTCATACATCATCTGTGTACTGTATTCTGTGTTCACCACCCAAAGTCAAGTCCAACTTTCTGTTTTCCAATTGGTATTTCTTATACAGAAACAGAAATTGAATTCGTGGTTGTCTAGGGCGTGGCTAGCAAAGGAGGATTAGCAAGCACAAGGCATCTGAGACTGTAGTGATGGTTGCAAACCTTGGTATAATTATTCAAAGTCTCTGATTGAATTGTACATTTAAAATGGGTGAGTTTTATGGTAGTATGTAAATTACACCTCACTAAAGCTGCTGAAAATTGATATCCCTGTATTTAAGTTCTCTTGGGGCCTACCTCGCATATAATATGAGACATTATATTGCCCCAATTTTTTACCTGCTCTTTTCCCACTGAAGTGTCTTAACTTTGGTGGCAGAGAAGATCCACCTTGAGATTACGGGGCCAGATAAAAACCCCCAAGCATTAGGATATGAGTCTGCCCTGACCCCTGTTGGCCAGGAGAGAGGTTGTTGCCCATTGCCAGGGAAGGAGCCAACATAGGGGAGCAAGATGGATTTCCAGGCAGGTCCCAGAAAGCAACTGGCACCAAATTTCTGGGCTGTGGCTACATGTGTCATGAAGTTAAAAAATAAAAAATAAAATCCCAGTGTTGTTCCATCCTTAAATGATGCCTTTCTCTCTTGTTTTGCAGGTTGTCTTAGTCTTTGTTCTCAGCATTGGTGCACTTGTAATATACTTCATAGATTCGTCAAAGTGAGTATTCAAATCCGTTGTCTTGCCCTGCTTTCTGACACAATTGTGAGTCCTTATTTACAACCATCGAAGCATTGCTTTAGCATCAGCCTTCACAAGAGCCTCCTGCGTGTGGGAGACTTGTAGAGGCAGGCGAGACTATTGGTCCTGATTTTCTTTATGGGAAGCAAGTTCTTCCAAGGAAGGAATCTGCTGGCTACAATAGGGAGGGAGGGGTATCCGATTGCTGGGTATTGTTTATGTGTAAATAGCTGTTTCCTGAGTATTTGCACTGCAGAGGCTAAGAGGGTCAGAGAATTTGCATTTGCAAACTCTGCGAAGTTTACGTGTCCACCTGGCCAGGGTCTGAGCCATACTTGCCATGGTGGTAGGGCTCTTTGCTCATTAGGGTTTCCACGCTTTAATCTTATCTGAGGTCGGTTAGAAAGCATGATACTGTCCTTTGTACCTGCCAACTAAATACTCAGCTGAAGCATCGCTCGCTGGTGCCTCTTGACTCGGGAGGAAGGAGATGGGACAGAGTTCATGAGGACTCCCAGAGGTGGAGACCATGGCCATCTGAGAATTCCTAGAGTGAACACTCACACACACCTTTGGATGCCAGCTGAGTGAACTGGTGCTTCAGGGTGAGCCTGGGGTGAGACCTGTGCCACAGATGGCAAAGGTTTTGTTGGAGGTGGGAGAGGTCGCTGAGCAGAGCTGCCAGGTGGCTGCCAGATCTGCCCTGGTCCCTGCACGCGTCACCCTGGTGCATCATCTGTTCCAGGGATTCTGTTGCAATCTTGATGCTGACAGCATCTGGGAAACTGGAGCTGAGTGGGTCTGGCCCGCCTGTCTGTGGTGACATGAGCTGGACACTGGACACTGGCCTTGAGCTCTTCGCCTGTGTTTTTCACTTTGAGAGTGTTTGTAGCTCCTTGAACTCTGTCCCTGGGGTGGCTGCATCTGAGCGTCTGGCCCCAGGAACCCTGCTCGATGCCCCTGTAGGCAGACTCTCGTGTGTCTGAATTCTGAGCTTAGCGTTCTTTCGCTGTGGCTCGGGATGGTACTGTTTCATGTCCGCCTAACCTCTGAATGTCTCAGAGGCATCTGGTCACCAGCCAGGAGATTTTCTGACTTGGATGCCAAGGCCAAAATATCATGTTAGGGAAGATAAAGAAAACACCAGCTCCAATCACCTGCCTCTGGAAATCAGCCACGACTGACAATCTGAGGTCGTTCAGCCTTCCCCGCTCACCAGTGGGGGCTGCCTTGACTCAGTTCGGGGCAAGGGTCCTTTAAACTTTCTCAGGAGAGGAGATTCCGCATGCTCCTCCACCAGCTTGCCCTGGCCAAGAAGGAGAAGACGAGCTTTTCAGTCTGGAAAACGCCAAGTGGTATGTCATTGAAGGTAAGCCCCTTCCAAATATCTCCTTTGCATCATTCTGGCCATAATTGAATTGAAGCAAAGATCTCTAAAGCCATCGGTCTTATTTCTCCATTCTCTCCCCAGGCACATCCTGGGGGGTGCATCCTCTGCCCGTTTCCATGCCAGGGCTCAGGAAATGGGTTTGGGCATGCAGTCTGTGTGCCCCAGACAGAGCAAGCCCTGACGAGGAGGTGCGTGTGGCTCTCGTTAGAAGGACAGATGCCTCGGCCTCTTCTTTCCTTTGCCTCTCTTCTTGCTCCTCTGTATTTCCATTAAAATAAAATGCTCTTGTTAGATGGGTCTGAATTGTGTCTTTTTTTACAGTGTCTACTGTGAGGCAGCCATTTGTACTTAGATCCCAGTGGACTCCCACAGGCAAGACCCTCTCCTGGGGCATCGGCCACTACCGCAGGGCCCTTTGGACTTGGTTCTGGTTCTGCTAAGTCCTAGGAAGCTGGCATTGGGGGTCGTCTCTGGTTCTGGTTCTGCAGAGAATCTACTCTAAGAATGGACCTTCCATTCTGTCTCAGCTTTTCCCTGTGAAGTGCCAACAATCCTAGAACCAAGACTGTCCTCGGTCTCCCTGGGGACTGTTCTGGCCTCATCCTAAACAGACTGTGTGGTTTGGCAGAGAGAGACTCCGTACATTGGAAGAGCTGAGGTTTCTGTCACTCTTTCCAATTTTCATTTGTATTTCTTCCTTTGGTTCTGGAACCATACCCCAAGGTTCTGTCCCTGGGGTGACCTGATCGGCATAGTCAGTACCAAGGAGTCTGCCATCTTTCTGGGGACAGCTGGCAAGCATGCTCAGTTAAGTAAGGAGAGGAATTAGACTCTATAAGATAACCATTATGATAAGTCTAAAGGTTCAGGAATAAAAAAAATATCATCTATTAAAGTAACTATAATTAAGCAAAGTGAACAAGATAAAGTGAGATTCTATCCGCACATAAAAAGCTAATGGAATCTAGGTAAGAAACCAGGCTATAAATTCTTAATTTCCATCTTTTTCATTCAAAACTGTCATCAGTTTTTTTCCTCTCGTGGTTTTGCTGGTTATTGGAAAGAAATGAGCATCTTGAAAATAAATCTTTAAACTTCTCTTAGGATTTATACGAAATCATTATCCTGGGGGGGAAAAAAGAAGTGTACAGTATTCTTCAGATGAATTTTAGTTGGTATTTATACCCTTCAAATGAATGAATAACTTAAAAGACAATCTATAGGCCTTCCCTTGCGTGAACCTTAACTGGTCAGACATTGTCAGTCAAATGACGTGTTTCGGTGATTTTTAACCAGAGCTGGCCTCCCCCAGATGGTGGGGAGTTCCTTGGCAACACAAATTCAAGGTGTGAGGCTCTGCAGGTTCAGTGCCAAGACAGGCCAGTTCAGGTTATGCGAGAGGACAGGTGGGCTGGGTGGTTCTTCTCCTTCCGTGTGGCGGCAGGGGAGGCCGGCCCTGCTGAAAAGTGAGGTAGTTGAAGGGCACAAGATCTTTTTGACCTTTCACTGCTTATTTGCTGTCAAGAGGCTATGGGTACGTTATTTCCCGATATATATTCTCAGCTTCACGTTGTTTTCTTTTCCATTGTTAGGCCAAGGTGATCCGTGAGCAGTTCTTGTGCACTTACGGCTTTGAGAAGCCCTTCCTTGGGTATTATTTTTCCCGTGATCACGGAGTGGGGAGTGGGGGGCTAGGGGGATCACGTGGGCAGCTTTGAGTGGTTGCTATGAGCTAAGAGAGAATGTCCTCATGACTTCTGGAGTTGAGACCAAGTGAGAATGACCTTTTTTTTTTTTTAATATATTTTATTGATTTCTTACAGAGAGGAAGGGAGATGAATAGAGAGCTAGAAACATCGATGATGAGAGAAATATTGACCAGCTGCCTCCTGCACACCTCCTACTGGGGATGTGCCCGCAACCAATGTACATGCCCTTGACCAGAATCGAACCTGGGACCTTTCATTCCGCAGACCGACGCTCTATCCACTGAGCCAAACCGGTTTTGGCGAGAATGACCTTAAACTGTGTTAAAATTATGCTCCCACCCAAGGAGAGGAGGCTGTTGCACCAAATCTTTGGACAGAGATGCATTAAGCCCGCTACTCACAGCCATCCCATCCCCCAGAAGGTACCCATCAGTTAGCCACAGGAGACAGGGACAGCCCAAAAGAAATAACTCCATTTAAAAAAAAAACAACTATATTATTATTGATATCAGAAAGGAAAGGAGAGGGAGAGATAGAAACATCAATAAGAGAGAACCATTGATTGGCTGCCTCCTGCAAGCCCCCCACTAGGGATCAAGCCTGAAACCTGGGCATATGCCCTGATTGGGAATCATACCGTGACCTCCTGGTTCATAGGTCGATGCTTAACCACTGAGCCACATCAGCTGGGCAGGAACTTCATTTCTGTTCCATTCTTTTTAAAGGTGCTATGCCCCGTTTTAGGCATGCCTCAATTCAACTCCTAATTCTGATGTCTCTTGTTTACACCAACACTTTCTTCTCATACACCCTGCTATTCAGAGAAGCAGAGATTTTTTAAAAAATGTGCAGTAAGTCAAAAACAATTTTAAAATAAAAGTGCCCTTAAATGTCCTGTGGGTGATGACGTCATCATGGCTGACCAAACCCTGTCAGTTTCCTCCCTCTGACATAAAACAGTGATTCTTCCCTAATAGATGAGGGAACAGAAAGCCCCAGGATGCCAGTGTGAGTGCAGGATTCATGGTTTGCATAATGCAGCAGTTCCTGCTGCTTCTAGAATTTCAAGAGGAAGTTGGAAGAGAGAGAGGCTCGGGGCCCTGGGAATTTGCCCTTTTCCAGGGGCATTCTGGGAAAGGATGACTCACCTGTGAATATATTCATTGCTTTGATTCATGTTTAAACTCTGCTGCTTTTTAGGCTGTAGTTATGTGGATTATGAATATTTAATATTGCATATACTGAAAATGAAGGTCAAATCCTGCTTACGTGACTTCAAGGCAGACTCCTGTCTATGTCAGGCAAGCTGCCTGCTGATAGCAGAGTAAAGCTGAAAGGTCACACATTGTTAAAATGACTTCATTTGCTCCAGAATGGCTGGTTTGCAGTTGGGGGCTACTTTCTGGTTCTTCTGTTGGCTTCTGCTATCTTCTTTTGGCTTCTGGTATCTTCTCTTGGTTTCTGTGTGTCTTCTCTTGGCTTCTGGTACTGGCAGCTGTTTGGGATGTGGCCGTAAGGAGGAGGGAGCGAACAGCAGCACTGGGTTTGGAGAGCAATCTCATTTAAGGGCTGGATGCCAGGGTAACAGTGGGATTACGATGTGAAAATGGCCTTGCCCTTGTCTTGAAAAGTTTACGTTTGTGTTCAGTAATCCATTCATTTTGTATCCATTCATTCGCTTGAAACACCTTCAGAGTGATAATGCTGAGTATTTCCCACTTGGTAAAATTGCTATGGTTAGTTATGGTCAAGGAAGACTGTTTTTAAGATTGCAATAGAAAATGACCAGACTGTTTTTATGGTCTCTGGAAATAAAACTGGCCCCACGGATGTAATAGGGATATCCAGAGCTTTAGCAGAAATGGACAGTCACCCAGCTG